GTCTTTTTTTTTTTTTTTTTTTTAATGTTTTTATTCAGAGAGGAAGGAGAGAGAGAGAGAGAGAGAGAGAGAGAGAGAGAGAGAGAGAGAGAGAGAGAGAGAGAGAGAGAGAGAGAGAGAAGAAGAAGAAGAAGAAGAAGAAGAAGAAGAAGAAGAAGAAGAAGAAGAAGAAGAAGAAGAAGAAGAAAGAGAAGAAAGAAGAGAAGAGAAGAGAAGAGAAGAGAAGAGAAGAGAAGAGAAGAGAAGAGAAGAGAAGAGAAGAGAAGAGAAGAGAAGAGAAGAGAAGAGAGATCAAAGATGAGAGAGGATCATTGGTCAGCTGCCTCCTGCACACTCCACACTGGGGACCGAGCCTGCAACCTGGGCATGTGCCCTGACTGGGAATTGAACTGTGACCTCCTGGTTCATAGGTTGACACTCAACCACTGAGCCACACTGGCTAGACCAGTCTGTTTGTTTCAGGTAACTTTGAATATCTTGTTTCTGATGCATTTTATGGTTTTTAAAAATAAATAGTTTAGTTCCCAGAGGACAACCTTATTTATCTAATTCCAGAGAGCCTTATCGTTTCCCCAGGTGCTGTTGATAAATTGCTTAGAGGATCAAAAACCAGAGACAGGGAATCCAGTCAGGAGGTGAGGACAGAAACCCTAATATGAATATTGAGGGCCTACATTCTGCCCTTGTCATCCCCATAAGCTCCCAAAAGGTTAGGGAACTTTCTATATTTGCCATTTATTCTTCCATCTTCCAGATTGTCCCTTGTACCTGGATGCAGCAATATCAAAATCCTTGGTCAGGTTACACGCCTGAGTTTTTGGTTCAGATAATACGGTCACTATACTCCTAGGCTTTAATATGTTAGTTTAGTGAGCATCACTCCTAAGGACAAGAATTCGCATAGCTGAGCCTTTGAGAGTCTGGGGTCCTAAATGGCCTTTCATTAGAGAAGACTGTGGGACCAGCAGGAGAAATCCATTTCTCCTGAGATGGATTGAAAAGGGAAGCTTGCTGCCGAGACACATTTGGCTCAATGGATAGAGCGTCGGCTTGGGGACTGAAGGGACCCGGGTTCAATTCCAGTCAAGGGCATGTACCTTAGTTGTGGGCACATGCCCAGTAGGGGTGTGCAAGAGGCAGCTGATCGATGACTCTCTCTCATCGATGTTTCTGGCTTTCTATCTCTCTCCCTTCCTCTCTGTACAAAATCAATAAAATATATTAAAAAAAAAAAAGGGAGGCTTGCTACCTAGGTCTTTGCTTCTTTATGTACACAGCTGACCATGGTTGATAAAAGAAAGAACTTTGGGATTCTAAAGAAACTGAATGTTTTAGGTCCTGAAAATGGTTCAGAACTCAACTAACACAGCCCCATTGTTTTGTAGATGAGAAATCAAGGTCCAGAGAGCAGGTGACTTGTCCAAGTCTGCGTAGGCTGCCAGTTAGGGAAGGAAGCCATAATAGAACCCAGCATTCTTTCTATGAGTCTGTGCTGCCCCCTGAAAAGAATGGCAGCCCAGCCCTAGCCATTTTGGCTCAGTGGATAGAGCGTGGGCCTGCGGACTGATGGGTCTCTCTGGTTTGATTCTGGTCAGGGGCATGTACCTTGGTTGTAGACTCCTCCCCAGCCCAGGCCCTGGTCGGGCTCGTGCAAGAGGCAACCAATCGATGTGTTTCTCTCCCGTTGATGTTCCCCTGGTGTGGAAGCTATACTCCTAGGCTTCCCTAGGAGTCATTGAGGGTCATAGGGCACCATATACCCTCAAACTAGTAAAAATCAGTCCACAGTGAGAACTGACTAATTCACTCTGCGTCACTGCTGGAACGGAGATCTTTTGCTCCCCCTAGCTGCCATGCTGAGGACTAACATCTCTCAGAAGAAAGAACCCTGGAGAGGGTCTGTCTTGACATTGGGTTACCAGGATCAAGAAAGCCAACCTAACTGCATGCAATTGCCCAGCCTTGAGCTACCGGTACAGTGGAGCCTGGTGGTAAGCACACAAGCTTTGGGGTTCAGACCAAGCTCCTCTTTCTTGTGTGACGTGGGATGAATCATTTCAACTTCTCTTAGTCTCAGTGTCATCATCTTAAAACTGGATGGGTAACTCCCATTTTGCAGGATCAAAGGAGATCCTGTACAAAAAGAGACAGACACCCTGTCTGCTATGCAGTAGGTGCTGAGTGATGGCTCCCACGTGAGTGGAGATGAGTGCCTACATCGCCCTAGAATAGATTGGGGCAGGGGCCCAGTCTGTGAGCTGCTTGAGGGTTTGTATTTCCGGGTCAGGACCTAGTCACAGTGGACTGTGTAAGTGTGTGTTGAGGTTTGGGGTTGGGCTGGGATAGCAAGGAGACTGGCCTGCCTGAAGCAAAGGTTTAATGTCAGGGACAAAGGCCGAGGGGCTTGGCTTCCATTCTGTCGGTAGCTGGGGAGTCACTGAAGTGATGCTCACCTGATACATGCAAATAATTGGACCAGGGCTCAGAAGCAATCTTGTTGCTGCAGAGTCAGATGGAAAGTTTTAGTGTGAAAAGTGCTCTGGAGTCCTGGCCCTCCATCCCTTCAGGAGGCAGCAAAAGCTAAAGGTTTGCCCAAAACGGTTTGGCTCAGTGGATAGAGTGTCAGCCTGCAGACTGAAGGGTCCCAGGTTCGATTCCGGTCAAGGGCATGTACCTTGGTTGCGGGCACATCCCCGGTGGGGGGTGTGCAAGAGGCAGCTGATTGATGTTTCTCATCGATGTTTCTAGCTGATTGATGTTTCTCATCGCTGTTTCGAGCTCTCTGTCCCTCTCTCTTCCTCTCTGTAAAAAATCAATAAAATATATTTAAAAAAAAAAAAAAAAAGCTAAAGGTTTGACCTATGGTTGAGCAACCTGTATCCGGCATTGAGCTAGGCCAACCCTCACAGCTCTACCCATAAGGGGCGCGATTCTTAGCATCCCACCCCCATTTCACAAGTGAAAAAGCTGAGGCTGGACAGAGGGAGTGCCTTCCCCAGGATCATGTAGCTGTACTAGTCAGTAGCGGAATGAAGTACTGAACTCACCCACTGTCTGCCTCACCTTGCTGGGTGGTGTGCCATTCACTCTCCCAACAAATACTCTCTTCTGAGGACTACCTGCTTCCTGTGGGTCCCTTTCTCATTTTATTTATTTTTTAACATATATCTTTTATTTATTTCAGAGAGGAAGGGGGAGATAGATAGATGACAGATCATAGATAGATAGATAGATAGATAGATAGATAGATCCATCCATAATGAGAGAGAATCATCCACTGGCTGCCTCTTGCAAGCCTCTTCCTGAGGATCAAACCCGCAACCCGAGCATGTGCCCTTGACTAGAATTAAACCAGGGCCTGTGCTCTGACTGGGAATAGGTCAACACTCAACCATGGAGCCATGCTGGCCAGGCTCTCTCATTTTATACTCGGCATAGCTGTCGCTCCCCCCACTTAAGATTGCATCATGGTTATCTGGACAGGACAGCCTGCAATGTGTTCATCTCTGTCCCTTCTGCAGTGTGTCATGGTTGGGGGAGGCGGTAAAGAAGGAGAAAGAAGACAATAGGGGATGAAGAAGGCACTTCCCACACCGTCCCACTTTTTCCAAGTTCCCTGGTCTTTCTTCCTGCCCTTCCCCGCCCCCAACGCATCAACACGCTATGTTCCTTCCTAGCCCCCTTCCCCTGCACACAGGCAAGGAGGAGCAGCGGAAGGGTGTGGCTCAGATTTCACTCATCCCCTCATTTCCCTGAAAGCTGTCCCCACTCCATTCTCTTTTGTCGCCCTTCCGTTGCCTCTGAGGGGGCCTCACAATGAAGAAGGCAGACCAATGTAGTAGAAAGGAGCTCAGCGGCTGACTCACCCTCTCAGCCTTGTTCTCTTCCTCTGGAAAATAAGCAGGTTGGACCAAGCAATTGGCAAAGCCTTTTCTATGTTGTTAATAATACCTGGCATTTGTCTGCTGGGTTCTAAAGGGCTTAATCATCCCAACAGCCCTGTGAGACTTGCCTCGTGTTACAAGTGGGGAGACTGAGGCTCAGATTCCGAGAGGGGAAGGACTGGTAAGTGGTAGAGCTGATATCTGAGGCTCAGTCTGTTGTTCAAAGCTTGGACTATGCCCCTGCCCACAGCTGCAGCTGCTAATCAGCCATTTCTGAGGAAGGCCTCACTCCTCACTGTAATCCACCAGGCCCACATGGTTGGTTTATGACATCTCTTTTTTAAAAGATGTGTTTTTATTGATTTCAGAGAGGAAAGGAGAGGGAGAGAGAAATAGAAACATCAATGATGAGAGAGAATCATTGAGTAGCTGCCTCCTGTGCGCACGTGCGTGCACACACACACACACACACACACACACACACACACACTGGGGATAGAGCCCACAACCAGGGCCTGTGCCCTGACTGGGAATCAAACCATGATCTGTCCTAACTGGTTTGGCTCAGTGGATAGAGTGTCAGCCTGCAGACTGAAGGGTCCTGGGTTCAGTTCTGGTCAAGGGCAGATGCCTGGGTTGCAGGCTCAGTCCCCAGCGGGGAGCATGCAGGAGGCAGCAGATCAGTGACTCTCTCTCATCATTGATGTTTCTAATGTTTGTATTTCTCTCTCTCTCCTTCTCCCTTCCTCTCTGAAATTAATAAAAATATATTAAAAACAAAACAAAAAACAAAAAAAAAACCATGATCTGGTTCATAGGTTGATGCTCAACCACTGAGCCATGCCAGCTGTGTGGTCCCTGGCATCTCTTTGACCTCACCTCCAACCATTCTTTCCCTCACTCACTCCACCCCAGCCACACTGTCCTCCCTGACCCAACAACTGGCCAGGCCCTTTGCCATCTCAACCTTTTGCACCGGCTCCTTGCTCTCCCTGAAATACCTTACTCTTCATTTTCATGATGCACATTAGCCTTCAAGGACACTACATAGGGCAGAGGGAGAAGAGGTGAGAGCATATGCTGACTGTCATTTCTCTTTCTCTGTTTCTCTTTCAGATCGGATGGTGAGAATTCCAGAACAGTCAGGTCAGTACCTCCTTTCTTTCATAGTGATTGGGAGATGGGACGGGGACTGGGGTGGGGGCTTTTGGTTTGTTACTTCGGGATCCATGGGCAGAAGTGGGGGCCAACTCCAAGGATTTTGTCCGCTTGGTATTAGGGGTGCTGTGGGGTGGGGGGCTGGCAGATATGGGGAGGGGGTTTGAAATTGTTCCTCAGTCTTTCTAACCCTAGCTGATTTGGGGCTGGGCTGAACACCCAAGGGGTTAATGGGAGCTGCCCAGATGGGAAAGTTAACCCGCAGAGAGTTCAGCTCTGGCCCTGGGACCTTTTCAATCTTCTCCTCCCTGGAGAAGGGGGCACAGTAAATGTGGGGCTTCCCTGGTCTGGCTTTAATGCCCCACCCTGAACAACTCTAGCCCTGAGTTAGTGGGATTTGGATGGACTTTTGATGTGACACATTCTGTATATTAGAAATATACGTTATGGTGACAAGCGCACATTGTGTGTGTGTGCGCGCGCTTGCTAAAAGGGTTTGCAAGTTTCAGTAAGTTTTCAGGGTGTGATAAATCTGCCACTTCAGTAGGTGGGAGTAAAACTGGGTTAGAGGCAAGGGCTATTTGTGCAATTCCCAGGCCTTAAACCATCAGAAACTTCATGAAGACAAGTGTGAAGGGAAGGGCTAGGTGGGAACGATGGGGGTTTCAGAGGAGGGCCCGTTAGTCTTGGCATTCAGGTAATGAGTGATGGGGTGGGCCTCTGAGACGAGATGGGCCCGGATGACAGAGGTATGGGATGGGCAGATCCCAGTCAAGGCTGTGACCAGCATGTACATAACCTTTGGGAAGAGTAGAATCCACTGAGTGGGTCAGTTGGAGGAATGTTCTCTTTCCACGGGGCTACTTGAGCCCATCACCAGGGTTTCCGGCTCAGTGAGCAGAGCACAGGTTGGATTCAGCCCCCACTCATGCCCTCTTGGCTGTGAATCCTTGTGCAGGGCACAGCTTGTCCAACCATATGCAGCGGCCCAGGCCCTGGCATCCAGGCAGTGGATGCGGGAGAGGGCAGAGGAGCCTAGTGTACAGAGGTACAGAAAGATATACTGTGCCTTAGCATCCCAGGCAGAGCGGAGGGTTGGGGGAGGGGAGATGTCGGAGAACACTGATGCCCAAGGCCAAGGCCAGGCTGTGGAATGGGACAACACTTGGGCCATCAGGAAATCAAGGGGAATGTGATGTCCATACAGTGAACATGACAAGACACAGTTAGTCCCTGCAGTGCACGCAGCGAAGGATATGGCATGGGCACAGCCTATCCTAGCATTTGTTATTATTTTTTTAAAGATATTTGTATTGGCTTCAGAGAAGAAGGGTAAGGGGGAGAGAGATAGAAACATCCATGATGAGAGAGAACCATTGATCAGCTGCCTCCTGCAGGCCCCACACTGGGGATCGAGCCCACAACCCGGGCACGTGTGCCGTGACCGGAAATTGAACCGTGAGCTCCTGGTTCATCGGTCAACGCTCAACCTCTGAGCCACACCATTAGTGTTTTTCCTTTTTTGAGACACTGGTCCCACTGTCCCACTGTGGGTTTAGAGAAAGGCAGTTTGGGTTTCCTTCCTGTTGATGTGCTTGCTACTTATTGAGGGACAGATTGAGAGTGTCTCTCCCTCTGTGTTCTTCCCAGCAAGGGAGTTCCCGTGACCTGGAGCTCAGGGTATTTAGTAATTATCATAATCATAAGCCATATGGTGATATAAGTTGGGTCTTTACAGTTTACTGAGGTTGTCAACGACTTTCTTTTGTTTGATCCCCCTAGTGACACTGTAGGCGGAACCTGGGCTGGCCTTATCATCATTGTTTTACAGTTGAGGCAACTGTGGCTCAGCCTGGTTTGCCCAAAGACACGCCACTAATATTTGGCTGGGCCTGGATTCAAACCCAGGTCTGCCTGGCACCCAGCCCAGAGCCCAGCCCACGTCGTCCCCGGGGGAGCTGTGGGAAGCCTTGCAGATCATAGTAATCCTCCTCAGCCTCCTCCTAATATTAGGAATAATAGCAGTTATCATTTGCTCCTCGCATACTCAGAAATCTGAACATGTTCTTATTTCATGCTCACAGCAGTCCTATTAGACATGGATTAGCATCCCTGATTTACAGATGAGATTCCCGAGAGGGTCTGATGCCCAAGGAAAGAAGAGCAATGGGGCCAGAAGGCATCATTCTGACTCACACGCTGGGCTGTCTGGTTGCAAAGCCAGTGTCTGCATTGGGGCCCACGTCGAGGAAGCTACAGGGCCCTTGAGAACCCAGCAATTGGAGAAGCAAGGGTCAAACCTAGGTTGTTGAAGGGACCTGAGAGCATTTGTGGGCAAGATGATGCAAACACAGTGGGAGCAAGGGCTAGGTGGGCTGTCTGAGGATGCCCTCAGTTCCTGCATGTCAGTTTTTTAAAAATATATGTTTATTGATTTCAGAGAGGAAGAGAGAAGGAGAGAGAGAGGGGGGGGATGGAGGGAGGAAGGGAGAGAGAGTTAGAAACATCAATGATGAGAGAGAATCATTGATTGGCTGCCTCCTGCATGCCCCACACTGGGGATGGAGCCCGAAACCTGGGCATGTGCCCTGACTGGGAACTGAACCAAGACTTCCTGGTTCATAGGTTGACGCTCAACCACTGAGCCACACTGGCTTGGCCTGCATGTAAATTCTTGAACTCCAGTTTTGGGTCAGGGATGGCTTCCAGGAGAAGGTGGCATCTAAGCTGGGCTGTGGAGGATGGACACGCAGACTCTGCATACGGAGGGCATTGCTGGCACTGGAACCAGCATGCAGGGAAGTGAGGGTGGACTTACAGATGGTGGCAGTCAGTTGGGCTAAAACAGATCTGGGCAGGGAAGGCTCAAATGTTCACGATCAGAATGCTGGGCAGGGCTGGGTCTCAGACGCCTTCTGTCGCCAGGGAGGAGCCGGGGAAGCTTGGAGGAGAGGCTGGGGGAAGCAAAGGGCTCCATTTATGGTTAGGCCACTTTATAATGATGTGACTTCATTTATTTTTTTAAATCTGCACCCGAGGCTATTTTTTCCATTGATTTTGTTTTGTTTGCTTGTTTTGAGAGAGAAGGGAGGGGAGGGAGGAAAGGGGAGAGAGACACATCGATGTGAGAGAGACACATCGATGGGTTGCCTCCCACATGTGCCCCCTACACACACACGGGGTCCTGGGATCGAGCCTGCAGCCGAGGTATGTGCCCTTGATCAGGAATCAAACCGGTGACCCTCCGGTCTGCAGGCTGATCAGCGCTGTAACCACTGAGCAGATGTGCCAGGGCTAGATATGTGACTTTGGACAACTCTGTTCAACCCTTGGAACCCAGGGCCCTCCTCTAATGACGAGTGTGTGCGTGTGGAGGGGAAAGGTTAGGAGGGTGGCAGGAACACCAAGGAGAGGGATTAGGCTGAGGCTGTGTTGGAAGTAGAACTGCAAGGAATGAGCGTCATTGGTGGATTGAAAACACCCCCCTTCCAGGGAGATCTGGGGGAGATAATAGATCAACCGAAGGACTTGTATACTTGCCTATAAGTACAACCAATGGACATAAAACTCTGGGGAGGGAGGGTATGCTTGACAGGGAGGGAGGGGGGCAAAAAAATCAATAAAATATATTTTTTTAAAAAAAGAAAATACCCCCCTCCCCCCTCTCCCCCTCCCCAATGGCAAAGCCCAGGCCTGAGGGCTTCCAAGCACTGAATGCCAGAGGAAGTGTGGAGTCTGTCTAATTAGAGCTGAACAGCTGATAGAAGGTGCCTGGGCTTCCCGCAGGTCGGTGAGAAGTTGTCAGACCTGCTGGCACCTTAAGCCAAGGTCCGGAGAAGGACTGGCAATGGCTCAAGTTCCCAAAGCTAGCTCTCAGCAGAGCCTGCTTCCCTGCTGTGTGTTCTTGGTGAAGCCACTTAGCTTCTCTGGTCCTTATTTGTCTCCTCGTCGGGTGAAATGAGGATAATGATTCTGACTTCCTTGGGTGATGAGAGAACTTACAGTAAAGCGATGCTCAGCACCAAACAGTGGTTAACACATTGGAGTGCCCTCTACCTTCTCCTAGCCCAGCGGTCGGCAAACTCATTCGTCCACAGAGCCAAATATCAACAGGACAACGACTGACATTTCTTTTGAGAGCCACATTTTTTAAACTTAAAACTTCTTCTAATGCCATCTCTTCAAAATAGACTCGCCCAGGCCGTGGTCTTTTGTGGAAGAGCCACACTCGAGGGGCCAAAGAGCTGCATGTGGCTCATGAGCCGCAGTTTGCCGACCACGGGCCTAACTTAATCCACTGTCAGTGCTGAATAAGGAAAGAGGTGAAGTGTAGAACTTGACAACAGAGGGGCAGGCAGGAGGGGTCGCAGGCCTGGAGGCACTACCTCTACAGTTAGGGTCAGACTGGAATTGGGAGTGTGTGTGGGGGGGGTAGGGACCAGGCTGGGGTTGCTAGGCACGCAAGATGGAGAGCTGGAGGAGGTGGCCTGTTGCTAAGGAAGGAGGGAGGGGGAGGGGAGCTGCTGATACCCTTGGAGCTGGGATGTCCCCATGGCAACAGGAGCCGCTGCAACCTCAGGGAGGAGAGGTGGGAGGAGCAGCCATGGCTGGCTCCACTCCCGGAGGAGGCCTCCCACTCCGGGCCTCAGTGCCCCCATCTGTCCAGCGGGACTTGGGATTAGATCATCTCTCAGATTCTTCCTTGGATTGACCTCCTGGGAATCTGGGGTGGCTGAGACCTCACGCATTCACAAGTGCAAGACACCGCCAATGCCCAGAGCTGCGCTGCCTCCTCCCCAGCTGCCTGCTGTTGGCTGCTGCCTGGGTGCCCGCCCGTCCAGCTGTCCCTTCCCATCGCTTCCTTTGCCTGGAATCTTGTCACTGACAGCCCCGCCCGCCCGATGTGCTCTGGGGCCCAGCTCCTGTCCTGCCCATTCTGGGAAGCCCTCCCCGCCCGCCTCCTCCCTCCTGGACTGCTTTGGCTCCTA